TTTTATTTTATTTTATTTTATTTTATTTTATTTTATTTTATTTTATTTTATTTTATTTTATTTTATTTTATTTTATTTTGGGCAGGACCATTTCTTTTTGTAATGCTTACTGTTTTCATGGTTCTTGCAGACAAAAAGATGGTGCATCATTATTATTTTCTCTCTCTAAATTAGGGCATAATTAATTCCCCCCCCCTCTAAATTAGTGTTTCTCTACTTCCTCAACTTTTGAGATGTGTGGACTTCAACACCCAAAATCCCCAGCCAGCCTACTGGAGTACAACTCCCAGAATTCCCTAGCCAGCATTTGCAGACTTCGCCTACCAGAATTCCCCAAGCAGCATATGAATCAGGAATGTTGCCCGACTATTTCTGAGTCCATAAAGCCCTTCCTTGAGATCCAGAGCAGTGGGTTAGACTAGATGGTCTCTTAGAACCCCCACCGCCTTTGACATTTTGATAATTCCACAAAAAAAAAAAAATCAAACCAGCCAGCTTGGATATTTTATTTTTATTAGATATGCATCTAGGATTCTCCTTCCTACTCCTGATCCCCCCAAAAAAGAGAGAAAAAGAGAACACGGTACATGGGGCCTGAATTGCTAATTTTTTTTTTTTTTTTGCACTCGTTCATATGCTCAACATCAGAGGCTGCTGTTCTTCAGCCAGTTCCTCCCCTGGGGGCATTTCGTAAAAGACGCAGAGCGAGGAATACAGGCAGCCCACGAAAGAAACCACGCTGGCAAAGTACATCACTCCATTGGCACTGCCCACCGCGGCCGTTAAAGGACCCATGACGATCGAGACCAGAATCTGGGCCAGGAAATATTGACAGCTCAGGAGGGAGATATCAACACCCATGCCTCGTTTAGTGCCGTCTTTGTCGGTGCCGGCAAACTGTCACGAGAAAGACAGAAGAGAGAAGAGAGAGAAAGAGAGAGAGAGAGAGAGACGGAGGGGAAGAGAGAGAGAGAGAAGATTAAAAAGGTTTAAAAGTTGCAAAACTTGCTAGCTTTGTACCCTCGATAACTGCATGGCGATAATAAGAGACTAGTTTCATCCCTGTGCTTCGCTATGAAACTATGTGGTGGGGCTTAGTTTTTGGGGAGGGAAAGAAGGGGAAAAATTGTGCCTCTGTCTACCAGCATCCTTCGGTATTCATCTGGCAGGCGTCCTGTCAGTGTGTGAGAGAGTTGAGGGCTATTTGGAAACTGAAAGAGTATTTGCTGTGTGAGCAAGGAGACAGCAAGGAGCCTGGGTGTGGCTTAGCTCAACTGTTCCCTACTAAAGCTGCTTGGTGCGGCTGTGAAACTGAAAGTCCTCTCCTCTGCTTGTGTTTTGCATTTGGAACAGATTTCTTTTCAGGTAGGGATGTGGGAGTAGAACTCCTTAGCATCAGAGCGTGTTAATAATAATATAGGAAATACTCTAAATGCCCTGGTGGTCATTTCGAAAAATCCATTCTTAGGGAGCCCCTAGAAGCCAAGAGGAACATACGTGCCAAATTTCAAGTTTGTAGGCTTGACGGTTCTGAAGAGTTTGTCATGATGCGTGAGGGGTATTTCGCTTTTATATAGAGAGAGATTATATACAAAGATACATAGAAAATACTGTAATTATACAGCAATGTTTCTCAACCTTGGATGTTTGAAGATGAGTGGACTTCAACTCCCAGAATTCCCCAGCCAGCCAGCATGGCTGGCTGGGGAATTCTGGGAGTTGAAGTCCACCCGTCTTCAAACTTCCGTAGAGTAAGGAGTATTCACATTTCTAAGCCACTTCTAAACTCTTACACCATTCTCTTCTAAGGGACTCCCCTCTGAAAGACGAGGGCTCTCTGTACATGCCCAGAGACCCTCCGGCCGAGGAATCTGAGCAATTGCCGTACCTGCTTACTTTGATAGTAGTCACACAGCAAGGAATAAGGGAGTGTGCAAAGGGTGGAAAACAACACGCCGTAAGTGACGCAGAGCGACAGGATCACGTAGATATTCCGGGTCAAGGTAGCCAGACCGGTGCCCAGGCCGAAAACTAAATAGGCTATAAAATACAGTGTGCGGATGCTGAAATATTCTTCGAGTTTCTCAAGGGAGGCTGCCAAAGGAAGGGAAATTGATTCAACCCAGTACACAACCCAGCCCGTTCCAGACCTTTAAAAGGAGAAACTGCACGTTGCAAAAGCGTTAATTGCAAATAAATTATTCGGAGTGACTAAACCTATCCCTGGTGTTTCCGTTGTGCGTGCGATTTGATTCTCTCTGTCTCTCTCTCTTTTTTTTTTTAAAAAAGTGTATTTTTGTGTCTTGTTTACGAGCCATCTTCAGTTTTATACAGGAGAAAAGAAGGAAAGTCAAACGGAGGGAGGAAAGGAGGAAAGAAGGAAGGAGTGGAAGGGAGGGAGGGAGGAAAGAAGGAAGGAAGAAGAGAGGGAGGGACAGAGGAAGGAAGGAGGGAGGGAGGGACAGAGGAAGGAAGGGAAGGAGGAGGGAAAGAAAGAAGGGAGGGAAGGAGGAATGAAGGGAGGGAGGAAAGAAGGAAGGAAAGACAAGAAGGAAGGAAGGAGAGAGGGAGGGAGGGACAAAGGAAGGAAAGGAAAAAAAAGAGAAAGTAATTATAGGAATTTTCCACTGTAACTTCAGAATGAAAGCCACCGGTGGAATAAAGTCTGGAAGAGTCTTAAAACCCCCAATGAGACAGTCCTTAAAATGGGTGCAGCCTCCTTGCCCTTACCGTGTCTGCAAAGTGGTCCAGCCCTCTCAGAGCTCAGGACAATTTCCACACACACCCCAAAAAACCCGCCGTCTGAAACTCCGCCCCCCCGTATCATCCCCAGGGGTCTTGTACCCAAGTGGAAAATCCCTCCGATTACCTGAATACAACGCCGCGCTGAAGGCGTAGACGCACATGCCCCAGCACCCCATGGTGACGCCGGAGTTGTACCTCTGGTGCTCGTCTGAATCCGGGGGGGCTTTGGGGTTCCCCTGATAGACCACCTCCCCCATGAAGTCAGTGTAGAAAAGCAGCATCCCTTCAAAGGACAGCCAGCCTGCGAGCGGAGAATGTGTCGGAAGGGGCAACGAGGAAAGAGGAGAAAGAAGGAAGGAAGGAGGAGAAGATGGTTTGAAGACGGTTTCTCAAAGGGGGTTGGAGAACTGACGGCCCTCCCAAACCTTGATGAGCTATCTTCTGCCCCCAGACACACAACAAACCAGGATTGGCCAGCCACGATGGTTGGATTGGCAACCGTGGCCGGCCTGCAACCATTGTAATCACATGGGAACTTAGTTTAACTGACTGGCTGGCCTACCTCTCCTGGTTGTTGTGAGTTTAAGGGACAAAGGAGAGCCATAGAGATCTCTTTGATCTGTGTTTCTCCACCTCAGGAATTAGACAGGGGCGGGATTCAGCCGGTTTGGGCCGGTTCGAGCAAACCGGTAGCAATTACTTAGCCCCGCCCATCAGCCCCGCTATCTGTCCTATATTTCCATGTTTTGCAGCCCAGCTGATTCGCGTAGCCAGGGCTCAGCTGTTTTACTCACCGGGGCTGCAGCCGAAAGCAAGTCTTAGAGCTGAAAACGGGTGGTTGTCGAACGTTGTGCGCTTGAAGCACGCGCTCACCAAACCAGTTACACCGCGTGAATCCCACCGCTGGAATTAGAGGACCTCCCCTCCCAGAATCCCCGCCCCTTAACGTTGTTGAAGTTGAGAAACATTCTCCTAGATGAAGGAATCAAACCATTTTTTTTTTTTTTGTACCTAGGAAATGGTTGATGCAAAGATTGCGAAGAACTTTTGGCATGTGACAGACGGTGGAACACAGGAGTTTGATTGACAGCGGCTGTTCAGGGACATCATTCAAGCCATTCAATTCGCTCTCGTACTTAACTCCGTTCAGCAAAATATTTGCTACCTGTGACACAAATATAATATTATTGCAACTCGCTGAAGATTAATATCCCAAGGTCCTCATTGGAATTTCCATGGGGTTATTTTGCTTTGTTCTTGTTCTATTATTTGTTGGTTTGTTATTCTAGTCTAACTTTACATGGGATGGTTCTCCAAGACAATTTAAATAGAAGAATTTGCTACCATGAAAGTGAAATTTCTTTGCTACGACACCACTCTGGAATAGGTTGTTAGAAAGAAGGAAGGAAGGAAGGAAGGAAGGAAGGAAGGAAGGAAGGAAGGAAGGAAGGAAAGAAAGAAAGAAAGAAAGAAAGAAAGAAAGAAAGAAAGAAAGAAAGAAAGAAAGAAA